GTGAGTTAAAAACCTTTATTTAAGGACACCGGCTCGTGTGTGGGGCTGTTTCATCCCACGAGTGCGCTCTTATGTGTGCGGCCGCTGTGAGCTGATCCGGGCTTACAGACTGGCTAAAAAACAGACACTTGGATCATTAATGATGATTTATTTCAACTTTCGTGTCACTTTTACACACACCCTCCGGAGACCGTCATTTGAGAGCTTTCTCTCTCATGAGCTCTGCGATTGTTTGCCCAGAGCGCTGTCTTGCAGGCGAACTCTGGGGAAACGCTGAGCTGCAGGCTGCCGGAGTGCAGAGGGCTGGATTCTGACGGGCGGGGCTGGTGGTGGAACTCAGCGAGAGCCGCGGCCGTGGAAAAGTCGAAAACTTGCTCGCGACGGTCCCTCCAGCGGGGACGGGGTGGGCCGCGCGGCTTGATGAGGTGGCGAACAGCTTCTGGCACCTCCTCCGACTGTTTCACTTCGCCAGCATGGTTTGAAGCTGCTCTGAACAGCGCGTCCGCGATGGGCTTCATCAGGTCTTGTGCAGATTCTCCGGCAGCGAGGGGAGTAACGAAGCCAGGTGGATCGTTGGGTCATCGTCCTCCGCGCTCGATTGGAGAGCGTGGTCGCCGTCTGTGTTCCTCCGGAGGGACGGGACGCTGCTCCGACCTGGGCAGCTTCGCTCCGGAAGCTTCTGCGAGGCTTGGCTCCAGGGGGGGGTACCGAGGAATAGCGTCAGCTGCCTTACAGAGGGAGTTCTTCGTCTCCAAGGCAGGTCTGCGGCCTTCAGTCCCTTGGACATGCTATATGCTAGCAGCGCACGTTGTTGCTAACTGCAGCTGCCTGAAAACACGTCGGTGGGCTCGATTGGAGAGCGTGGTCGCCGTCTGGTTCCTCCGGAGGGACGGGACGCTGCTCCGACCTGGGCAGCTTCGCTCCGGAAGCTTCCGCGAGGCTTGGCTCCAGGGGGGGGGGTTACCGAGGAATAGCCCCGCTCGGTGAATCCCTCAACTCTGGTGATGGGAGCGGACTGGGGACCGACTCCTCTAATCTACCAGGAAAGAACCGTCTGCGGCCTCGCCCGTGGAACGTCCTGTTGGAACGCGAGGCCGTATGGATCAAGACGGTGAGCCAGAGTGGAGCCCAGTGAAAAATAACCTTTCCGCCGATCATCCGAACTGGCGGGAAAAGGCGAGGGACGTAGAAAAAAAGGGGGTCCCTTCATGTCAGCCTCCTCCTGGGTTCCGCCGGGCAACCCCTGAGGGCGCCGTCGGCCGGGAGCGGTGTGATCGCCGATGCGAAACGAGGTGGGATGGGGTGAGCATTCACTCAGCCCCCCTCCACCTACACTACGCTCCCCAGGAGGGAAAGAGCAGCGGGGCTGCAGCTGAGCACGCCTTGCCCCGGAGGAACCATCCGGTTCGCCCCGAGGGTCGGCGATAAGAGGAAAACCACAAGATGGCGTTGTCCAGCGTGTAGTGACCTGTCACTGGGAAATGTTCCACGACGCTTACCTTGGAATAAGACTGCTGTCATCTTCTCCTCGGGGAGGAGAACTCACCGGACGACCGGAGGTCGACTGCCGGGCCAAGCATCTTTCGCAAAGGTTGGTCATTTACACAATTTATCTTCTTTGTTCTTCTGACAGTGCTATATTAGCTCGCTGAAGAAAAAATGGGAGCCGATTTCCCGCTCTTAACGTAATTTATACGGACCGGGTGGGGCCCACACAGCAGGTGGGCGTGGACTAATTTTTTCAGTGCTTATGCTCTGCATAACGGGATAAACCCACTAAAGCGAAGGCCTTAAAGGGCGAAGCTTATACGACATAGAACAGGAGCGGAGTAGGAGAAGGTCCTTTTGCCTAGTTCAGTCCTCATTGAGGGAACACTGCAGGTAATAATGTCCTGAGAGCGCACTCCGTAGCTGCACTCACGCAGAGACAAGTAGGAGGAGATGTATGAAGGCAGCAGACCAAGAAGTGATTTAAAGATGAAAATATACCAGTGAGAGAGTCTGCGGTATATTTTAATATTTTAATATTATTCGGCCCCCTTGCGTTAATACTTTGTAGCGCCTCCTTTTGCTGCAGTTCCAGCTGCAAGTCTCTTGGGGTTTGTCTCTATCAGTTTTGAACATGGAGAGACTGAAATTTTTGCCCATTCTTTCCTGCAAAACAGCTCGAGCTCAGTGAGGTTGGATGGAGAGCGTTTGTGAACAGCAGTCTTCAGCTCTTTCCACAGATTCTCGATTGGATTCAGGTCTGGACTTTGACTTGGCCATTCCAACACCTGGATACGTTTATTTGTGAACCATTCCATTGTAGATTAGGCTTTATGTTTTGGATCATTGTCTTGTTGGAAGATAAATCTCCGTCCCAGTCTCAGGTCTCTTGCAGACTCAAACAGGTTTTCTTCCAGAATGGTCCTGTATTTAGCCCCATCCATCTTCCCATCAATTCTGACCATCTTCCCTGTCCCTGCTGATGAAAAGCAGGCCCAAACCATGATGCTGCCACCACCATGTTTGACAATGGGGATGGTGTGTTCAGGGTGATGAGATGTGTTGCTTTTATGCCAAACATATCGTTTTACATTGTGGCCAAGCAGTTCAATTTTGGTTTCATGTGACCAGAGCACCTTCTTCCACATGTTTGGTGTGTCTCCCAGGTGCTTGTGACAAACTTTAAACAACACTTTTTATGGATACCTTTTGAGAAATGTCTTTCTTCTTGCCACTCTTCCATAAAGGCCAGATATGTGCAGTCTACGACTGATTGTTGTCCTATGGACAGACTCTCCCACCTCAGCTGTAGATCTTTGCAGTTCATCCAGAGTGATCATGGGCCTCTTGGCTGCATCTCTGATCAGTCTTCTCCTTGTTCAAGATGAAAGTTTAGAGGGACGGCCGGGTCTCGGTAGATTTGCAGTGGTCTGATACTCCTTCCATTTCAATATGATTTCTTGCACAGTGCTCCTTGGGATGTTTAAAGCTTGGGAAATCTTTTTGTATCCAAATCTGGCTTTAAACTTCTCCACAACAGTATCTCGGACCTGCCTGGTGTGTTCCTTGGTCTTCATGATGCTCTCTGCGCTTTGAACAGAACCCTGAGTCTATCACAGAGCAGGTGCATTTATACGGAGACTTGATTACACACAGGTGGATTCTGTTTATCATCATCAGTCATTTGGGACAACACTGGATCATTCATAGATCCTCACTGAACTTCTGGAGTGAGTTTGCTGCACTGAAAGTAAAGGGGCCGAATAATATTGCACGCCCCACTTTTCAGTTTATTTGTTAAAAAAGTTTGACACATCCAATAAATTTCATTCCACTTCACGATTGTGTCCCACTTGTTGTTGATTCTTCACAAAAAATTAAAATTTTATATCTTTATGTTTGAAGCCTGAAATGTGGCAAAAGGTTGAAAAGTTCAAGGGGGACGAATACTTTCTCATGGCACTGTAAATATTACAGTGGTTGATGTGCCAGTAATGCCAAGCTAAATAAAGAAAATACAGTAATTTTGTGAGTGTTTTTATGTTTGTTTTGTTTCCTTTTTTTGCAAGTACGTCTCACCCTTTGGCTGTGAACTGTGTTCATGAAAAGCCTCCGTGTTAGAGCACTAGAAAAACGCTGCCCCTTTACCTTCTTTTTACATCACTAGAAGGATTGGTACACTTTCATCTCAAAACAGTAAATCACAACAGTTGTTGTTCTAGAAGAGAAGGAGATAAATGGGATTCAGCCTTCAGGTAGCATGCACTGAGCTGATAAACGGCATTCATAATTGGTAGAGCTGAACAATTAATTGCATTTGCAATAATATTGTGATATGATAAAATGGGACTTTCTAATCATAAAGGCTGCGATTTGACTGATCATGTGATCTGGTTACGTGACTTGCAAGTGAGCGGAGCAAAGCTGAGCAGGGAACGGGAGAAGTCAAGCACTTGAAACGGTTGCACAGTGGCGTCAGGCTCAACAGACGCTTACACATCTGAAAGTTTGGTACCAAAGAGGAGCAGCAGGACCGTTGTTGGGAATTATTTTGGCTATAAAAAAGAAGCCGCTGCGCAACGACATGTGTCGTGCAGAACCTGCCTTGCTGCTGTTGCTGCCTTTCGAGGTAACACCACAAATTTTTATCAACACTTAAAAAAAACACCACAAAGAAAGCCACAGGGCTGGACGATATGGCCAAAACTTTTATCACGATATATTTCTTAATTTTGGTCGATAACAATATAATTAGATATCGATATAAACGATATAAAAGCCTCAGAAAAACTGTACAAACTGTACAAATAAATTAATGTTGACCTTTTATTTGTATTTAGCCTTCAATAAATTTTGAAATCACTGTCAAACATAAAATTCTCAACTTTGTTAATATTAATAGTTTGAACTTTAAACAACATAACCTAACAACCGTCGGGCAGGCTCCCACTCTCACTGTTTTTAAGTCTCGCTTAAAAACCCACTTTTATTCCCTGGCTTTTGACACTATGTAACTTGTTTATAATCCTGTCTGTATTCTGCAATGTTAGCCTTGTAGTTATCTTTTTCCATTTGGATCTATGTTTTTATCCTATGTCCTTTGCATGTTAGTTTTTACTGTACAGCACTTTGGTTGGCCTTGCTGCTGTTTTAAGTGCTTTATAAATAAAGTGGTATGGTATAATTGCATATTAAATTGCAATATTGAGGTAAAAAAAAAAATCACAATTAGAATATTTTCCTAAATTGTTCAGCCCTAATAATGGAGTCTCATGAACAACTTGCAGTGGAAAATGTGTATATTTTAATGCAATTTTAAGTTACAAACTAGTCTCCAGTAGTCATAACCCAAAGATATTTGGGCTTCAGAACCAGATACTAAACTAGATGTGGTCACTGAACCAGTTCTAACCTGTTCTGAGGTATCACAACATAAGAATGTCTTTTGTTGTGTTAGATAAACGTCGAGTTAACTAAATGGAGCTGCTTAAACATCTTCCTGTCATACACAGGGAGGGAAGAGATCACCTGGAGAGCCAGGGCAGCATTCAGGACAAGATTACAGTTTGTGCCACGGATGATTCGTACCAAACGACACGGGAGCGCATGTCTCAGGTGGAGAAGGACATCTGGAGCCGCACAGCGATTGAGATCAAACCGGGACCAAGTAAGCTTTTACCAAAATGAGTTTTATATAGGCACCACTTGCCCTACGACCCAGAAAGGAAAAAGCGGGTAAAGAAAATGTATGGATGTTTTCTATAACTTTCTAGCACATAAGTAGATAAACAAAGAACTGTGTGCTCAGTAAGCTTAAATTTAGTTCAGTTCAATTCAATTCAGTTTATTTATATAGCACCAAATCACAACAGAAGTCATCGCAGGGCACTGAACAGAAACATTCATATTTAAAAATGATGATTTAACATTATATGAAACTATTAAACTGTTGTCTTTCTCCATTTCCTCATGCTGACAAATAACTTTATGAAATGGAAGTTATCACATAACTGATCAAATACCTTTATTGCAACTATTCATGTGCAAGCAAGTAATGGCTTTCTGTCTTGCAATTTTGCTTTTATTTGGACCAGATTGCTGAGGCGCGTCGCCAACTCTCCCACAAGCATCATTGTGATTGAATTTACCAGAGGTTTGCCCCAACAGGTCTCACGCTGATGAAGATTTGGCAAAAACATAATAACACTGACTGAAAATTAATTAATTTCTATTTGTTTGAATATTTAAAAAAAATACTGTTAACTTTGTGGCCTAATTTAACCTGGAGGGATCTGTGTCTCATCTGAAAGAGCTCTATTTTACAATTATTCCAATTTACTCACTGCGTTCCTGAAACTGGAGCCATGATTTTATCCTCTGCAGTAAAAAATAATAATATAATCTTTATAGATGAACTGTTTATAAAATTTTATGACATGATGATGCGTCTCATTACAAATTGTTTTTCCTTATTAAAGGGAACATTTTGTTTAAAAACTATTACAACATAATCTTTAGAGGTGGTCTAAAAGCTAGCTGCTACCCATTTCATGCCTCGCTTTGTTGCACTTCAAGTCTCTCTGAGGTTTTAAAAAAATGCATTTAACTCGCCAAAAAAGTTTGAATAAAAGAGGAAACCCTGTAACTTTGAGCGTCCAACCAGGAATTCTCATGTCTTTTCAAACATGTCTTCTCATGCACATAACTATCTGGGACTTCTTCTCTAGGGAGAGGAGAAAAATGGGTCATGGCTCACAGCATGAGCCACATGCTGTGGAGACAGCACAGTTGTTTCGTGGTAACTTTCCATCTTTTTATGGTACTTTAATGATATACTTATCAGAAAACAAAATGTCTCCGCACCAACTTGCAATTACAGGTTGCGCTAGAAAAACGTCCAAGGTTTAGATAATCGTGTGTGATTGAAAGTTTGGTTGAAATCGTCAAGAAAGAGTTGACAACCAGGCAGAATAAATTTGGTGTTGGGAACGTCTGAGATTTTATCAAATATAAAATCAATACACTGCTGCTAGCAGGTGGTACATTTAATGTTTGTCCATTACTTAAAAATAAAAACATCCACAACACAGTAAATCAACAGTTATTGTAGGTCGGGCTGGAAATTACCACGAAGACTTGGTTGAAGCTGTTAAAAATACCCTTAAGCTGCTTTAGTTTATGGCTGATATAATGACTCCAGTCATTGCATGGTGGAAATGTTGCAGTGCAAGAATACAGTTGCTAAAAATACTTCAAGGACCTGGTTCAAGGTAAATGTTGATATATAACTAGACGCTCTTTTGAAAACCCACATTCTTACTGTATCTAACTAAAACTTTACTATAAAACAAAGGATCTACCAAGTTGTATGGATCAACCTTTAATAACCTCCAAACTAACGTATGGCTAACCGCTATACAGTAGTCCCTAGATTATCGCGGGGCTTACGTTCTGGACACCCAGAAGTTAAAAACTGCAAAGAAAAAAACACTATTTATTTTAGTATTTATATACAGTATATATTAAGGCTTTATAAATCGTTCACACTCTTGCAATGTTTACACTTTTGAACTTGTGTAATTTTAACAACATACATATATGTACTGCACAGTTCTGCAAAATTTTATGAGGATCTTACCAGCCTTGGTCTGGTTCTGGTCCAGTTCTGATCGGCTCTCTGCAGCCGTTGAGCACTAGACGCTTTTGGAGAGAGCTGGACCTTCAGAGAGCCAGCACAAAACCACCCAATGGTCCTGATCAAGTCTAAATAATCCTGAAGAATATGATGAAAAAAGTCCAGGTGAGCTCCGAAGAAGACACTGGACTTCCAAGCAACGCCTCCACGCTCGAGAGGCTTCCTGGACCGGCAAGCAGCGTTCAACTTGACCGATGAGGCTGGAAGCACAGTAGTCACTCGTTTATCACGGGGGATCTGTATCCTGAAGCCCCGCGATAAGTAAAAAACGTGAAGTAGGAATAGTAGTACAAGTAGTAAATACTAGTTTATTTTAGTGTGTGTGTATATATATATATATATATATATATATATATATATATATATATATATGGCATCATAAACCCTTCCCACACTCTTGCAATATTCTAAACAATGTTTCTAAAGTCTAAACGCTCTAAAAGAGCACAGCATGTCATGATTTCAGCTCTCTGCCACAGTTTCGCTCTTGGCCACACCCACTTCTCCGCTGCAGAACAACCGGTGTGCAGCAGGTGCTAAATTATTTATTTTAAATAAAAATTTCATGCTGATTGTGTGGCTTGTCCATCATTCAGTCAATTGTGTGTCATGTCCAATCTTATTTTGGAAAAACCGCGATAGAGCGAGTGTGAAAAACGAATCGTGAAGTAGCGAGAGACTACTGTAGTTCTGGTCTGGTTCTGATCAGCTCTCTGCAGCCACTGAGCTGACTACTGAGACTACTGTGCGCCAAAGTCACTACGAATAAGAACTAAACTTTTTATATCAGCCATTTCGGCAGCAAGAAGCAGTGTTGGCTTCTGGGTAGTGTAGTTCTTTTGGACTTGCGATACAGTATAGGATTATTGGAAAAAAAAAAAACTACAAAATGGCGACGCCTGTCCGAAGTATTTTTTTCATTAACTTTTTATCTGTACCGTCCCAATCATGTGAGTAACATTAAAGTTGACAATCGTTGAAAAACCGCTAAAGAGCGAGTTCACGAAAGTCGAACCATGAAGTAGCGAGGGACGACTGTACTGAGATTATACCTGCAGGCAGGTACTGATAAGAACTGCCAAACCGGCTGCAGCTGCATTTGTTCTGCAACAGGAAGACAAAGCTGCTCTGAGTTAGTTGCTTCAGTTTCTTCACTCTTCTGTTTACATAAGAGCAGGCAAACTTGCTCTCTCTCTGTTACACAAGTGGCAGCGACACTGCCTCTGCACACAGACGGTGAGAAGTGCACGAGCGCAGTGCCGTGCTCAACGTGTCCGTGCACATGAACTGCTCTTTCAGATTGAGCTGTAGTTGCAGTCTTATCAGCAGCGCTTGCGTGAAGTCGACTGCACGACAAGAAAGCCATATAATAATAATCAAATGTATTGTCTCGCTGTATCTCGTGTGTAGGCCTGACTTCATAATTAAGGTGTGATTTGTATATCTGCCCTGAGGACTGGATCTGGAATGATATGTTGGCGTGCTTCTACAGGAGACTAGAAGCTCATGCAAACCCTGTTGTCAAATCAGTTTAAAGCTCTGCTTGTGCCTAGTTTAGTGTAGAAGAGATGCTTAGTTGCTTTTAAGAACAACCCATGTTAAAAGTAGTATTCCTTAAAGGAATTCATATTACTCACTGCCTTGTATACAAAAGATTAAAAAAAGAGAATATGTTGTGGATAAGTCCCAGCTACAGCACCAACACCAGTAACTGGAAAACTCACTGAATAATAGACATTTTTGTGTTTATAAGGTTAGTTGGCTGTGGTGGTCATTTTGAATTGGATTGACTCCATGCGTTAATAATTTTTAAATGTGCACCCGAAAATTCCTTTAAAACCCACATGCAGTCATGTAGTCTCAAGTGAAAACTCTCCTGTTGGTTGTAGGCAAATGTGTGAAGGTCCAGAGGAAACCGGGTGCGGTATCGAGCTCAGACGGCAGCAACAAGCACTCCCCCAGCAACAAGAGGACCCTGCTCCCCAGCCCCGTGGCACATCGACCCTTAAGGGATCGCATCATTCATCTCCTGGCCCTGAAGCCCTACAGAAAACCTGAGGTGCTCCTGTGGCTGGAGAGGGAGCGGGCCAGTCCAAAGGACAAGGCTGATCTGGCCTCAGTACTAGATGAGGTGGGTCTGCAAATACATTACCAACTAATAAAACATTCTGTCATATACTTAGTAATAAATGAACTTAAAATTCAGCTGAAAATCTTAAAATAAATCGGTGTGTAACATGTTGTTTAGTGATCAAATGTACAAAACTGTGCTATAGAAAGGTAAGCTCAGTTTAGCGTGTTTTAGGCATGTTTCCTGTGTTCACAGTGTTTGAGTGTCCCACTGCAGTCATCAAGTGGGAGCTTGTGTAATCACTGGTAACCGTAATTAGGGCTGTGCCTTAATTATGTTTGGATGAGAAGATTGTGCTTTGACAGGAGGGGTGGGGTGACTCCAGCTGGGATCTGACTACTCACAGAAATAAAAAATGTTTGGATTTATTCGTGTTTAGTCCGATTGGACGAGTTTGTAATGAGGGACACTGTCATGGGAAAATACTGGATTCAGCTTATTTTATCCTGCTGTGTTTTCTGTTAAATTTGCAACATTTTGTGGATCTTTTGGGTTTCCAGGTTGGTAAACAGAATCCTAAAGACCACAGCTACTCTCTGAAGGATGAACTCTACAGACATGTCCAGAAAGACTGGCCGGGATATCTAGAGGAGGAGAAGCAGCTCATCCACAGGCTTCTGATACGGTTAGACAAAACTTTCAAAAATACTTTTTTTTTTTTTTTTCCCTTCACTGAAAATTTTAAGATGCTTAAAAAAAACATTTGCATACAATTTAAAAATGTTAGTTACAAGCAGTATTTTGAGAATTATATAAACTTTTTTTGTGGATGAGAAGTTTTTTTTTACTCTACCTATAAATGTGCATGCCACCAACAACTGACTAACTTGGCTAAACGAGGAACAATGACCAAACAGTGGCTCAAAAGTTGAAAACGTCACATTTACCATATTTAATTAAAGGAATAGTTCAGGCCTTTGGAAGTGACGTTCTGTGAGGAGAACTAGTCTAATTCTGACCGATGAGCTAATAATTAGTCCGAGTGAGGCCAAGACTAAAACTAATGCTTCCATCTAAAAAGAACTCCATTCTAAATACAGTATATATATATATATATATATATATATATATATATATATATATATATATATATATATATATATATATAAATAGTGTTTTAAACCCTTCCCACACTCTTGCAATATTCTAAACAATGTTTCTAAATTCTAAATGCTCTAAAAGAGCACAGCATGTCATGATTTCAGCTCCCTGCCTTCTCTGCTCTTTGTCACCTGCAAGCTTTTTGGCCACGCCCACTTACCTGCTCTGCACAAGAACAGCTGATCAGCTGCAGCAGGAAACTTATCCTGCAATGTGGGCTGCACACAGGTGCAGCAGGTGCTAAATAATTTCAAATAATGTATTTTAAATAACAATTCCATGCCGATCGTGCGGCTTATCCATCAATCAGCCAATTGTGTGTCATGTCTTGTCTTGCAATAGAGCGAGTCCGTGATAAATGAAGAGATAAGTAAAAATGCAAACATTATTTTGTAGATGTTTACACTGTTGTCAGGTTTTCATATTCTTACCCCAGCAGAATTATTTTGATATTCCTGCAGGAAGTGCACCAGGTGCCACAGCTAGCTGCCACATAATTCAATGTGAATGACTGAAATGTGAAATTAATGGTACTGTAAAGGTTTAAATAACGGAGTGCACAATAAACTCAATAAATCTTGGTTTTTAGATTGGAGGTGTTTTAAAACAGCGGCAATCCACTTTGTTCTTGCAACCCTATAATTTCTGCAGATGGTGTCCCATCTTTTTGTCGAGCTTAGTAAGAAAGCATTTACCATACACACATTTCTCAAACTCTCTGTTGTACAAGTACCTTTTAAGCTAACGAGATCCTGAACTGTTTCAACAAACATTTTGTTGCTTCTAGTTCTTTATTTGACACAGTTACTAATGGAAAATCAGCCACTTCACTTAATAACCAAACTTCTACAAATCAAATCCCTCCTACAAGTCAATCCTCAGTTAATCACACCTTCTCCTTTTCTCCATTCTCAGTTAGTGAGGTCAATAAACTGTTAAAAGATCTTGATCCTAAAAAATCTGCAGGACCAGATGAACTTCCACCTTATTTCTTAAGGCTGGCTGCTCATATCATCACAGTCCCTGTGACCCACATCTTCAATCTCTCCATAAGACAAAACTCCATTCCAGACACTTGGAAAACAGCCTTTGTTCATCCTTTGCTGAAGGGAGGTGACCCCACCTCACTGAACAACTATCGACCAATCTCTAAACTCTGTATTTTAGCCAAGGTTTTAGAAAAACTGAAACTCTCAAATCAAAAATTACCTGGACTCATTTAACATCTTACCTCCACATCAATCTGGTTTCAGGAAACAACACAGCACAACCACTGCTTCACTGAAGGTTCTTAATGATGTTGTTGAAGCACTGGATGCTAAGGATTATTGTGCTGCACTTTTCTTAGACCTGTCTAAAGCTTTTGACACTGTGGATCAGAACATCTTGTGTCATAAACTCTCAGAAATCGGTTTCTCGGATCACACCATTGGTTGGTTCTCTAACTATCTCTCAGATTGGAGGCAATGTGTTCAACATAATGGTACTTCCTCCAGGTAGTTAACAGTCAACAATGGTGTACCACAAGGCTCAGTTTTAGGACCCACCCTCTTTACAATCTACATACGTAATGTAGGTAAAAACATCCCTAATGCATCCATACATTTCTATGCTGATGACACAGTTGTTTATTGTCGAGCTAAAACAGTTGATAAGGCTTTCCAGCTTTTGAAATCTGCATTCAACAACATCCAGACACAGATTTGTTCCACCTCAAACTTGTCCTAAATGCAGACAAAACCAAAGGGATGCTTTTTTCAAATAGGAAGTCAGTCCCAGCAGTTCTTCCTCTGATTTTACCCTCAAATGGTGTCCCCATTGAGTTTGTTGATTCCTATAAATATTTGGGTATCTTGGTCGACTCACATCTCTCTTTTAAGCTCCATGTGGAAAACTTGGTAAAGAAACTGAAAGTTAAACTGGGTTTCTTTTTCAGAAACAGATCCTGTCTAACCCTGAATGCTAGAAAACAACTTGTAGCTGTGACTTTCCTTCCCTCCATTGATTATGGTGACATTATTTACATGAACGCTCCTACAAGAACCCTGCAGATGTTGGATGCTGTCTATCATGGTGCACTAAGATTCATAACTGGCTGTGATTATCGTACCCACCACTGCACCCTGTATTCACTGGTTAACTGGACATCATTAACTTCATGCAGACTCTCTCACTGGTACATTTTCATCTTTAAATCACTTCTTGGTCTGCTGCCTTCATACATCTCCTCCTTCATGTCTCTGTGTGAGTGCAGCTACAGCGTGCGCTCTCAGGACATTATTACCTGCAGTGTTCCCTCAATGAGGACTGAACTAGGCAAAAGGGCCTTCTCCTACTCTGCTCCTGTTTCCTGGAATATCTTACAAAAAGATTTGAAGCTCTCGACCTTGACCTCTCTAAGTGGCTTTAAGAATCTGTTGGACTCCTGGCAGGGATGCAGACATGTTCCTGTTTTTAGTTTTCTACATTTGCCTTAGAATCTAGCTGTTTTTTTTTTTTTACTTTTCTTTTTTTAGCCATCCTATTCGTTTAAAAAAAAAAAATCTGTATGCTTTTTTATAACTGTCTATTGTTGTCGCTGTTGTCCATTGTTGTCATCATTCTTTGTTGAAATCAGGTCTCTCTTGTAAATGAGTCCTCGAGGCTCAATGGGATTTACCTGTCTAAATAAAGGTTGAATGAAAAAATGCTCTTAGTCCTTTAAAGCCTTCTTGAAGGAGTTCATGCAAAGACAAACAGGATAGATGCAGAGTGATGACAACGTTAAGACAAAAGGACAATTTATTAATTTGGAACTCTGCTGGGATCATTTAAAAGCAGATCTAAAGAACTGCTGCTGCTTTTCTCTGCTGAATCTCTTAATTGACACATCAAAGCAGGGGAAAATATTCCACTGCACCGCGTTGCCAAATGGCAAGAGTTGCAAGGCTGAGCTTTTCAGCGTGACCTTAGTTGCCTCGTATGGTTCTTCTGCCTGCCAGTAAGTGTGCAAGCCATGTGCTTCAATGCAATTTTGGAAAAAGTGCAAAAGCCCTGCTGGCAGATTGCTCCACCCCATGTGGAGTGCAAAAAGCTCACTATAGTACTCATCCAATTATTAGCCAAATACAACAAAGCAGTGGTCATCAGGAAATGCTTAAAACTACTAATACATTTATTCTGGTCATTTCTTTTATTTCTCATTCTATGGTATTTTTAGGGCTTCTTCTAGCGCTGTGAGTTGGTGTTTGACTTTGATGGCTACAAAGTTCAGTGTTACTGTAAATGTGACTAAAAGAGTTGGATAATTTCACAGCAGGGAGTGACTTTCTGTAATGCCATCAGTTTGAGGAAGGAGCTGCAGAAAGCAGATTACCAGAAGACTGGGTTTGGCCATGCAGAGGTTAAACCTGCTGCTTTTGTTCATACCAGTAGACCGTGCTCATTCTTACAGGCTGGCTGCTGTGCACTGTTTTTACTTGGAGAGACAGTTGCATCACTTCACTGACAATTTCTTCTCGGGACAGACAGAAAAAAAAAAAAAAAAAATATATATATATATATATATATATATATATATATATATATAGATAAGAAATTACTCATCCTGTTGCACACAGATCTGCCAAAATTATCTCCACGACTGCGCGACTGACATACCGCCTCTTCCTGTTTGGCTTTATGGGTCATTTACCTTTAATGTCACTGTCTAACTGATGGTGCTGTCCTCTAAATCTTTCCCCAGGAAACTTCAGCCGCTCCACAGTAGCCAGTTAAGGAGCCCGCAGTCCAACCATTCATTCCACAAAACTCTTGGCGACTCTCCGTCACGACTCAGTCCTGCCAAGAATCTCTCAGCGGTAAGTACTGGTAATCAAGCTGCACAACTTTTATTTCTTCCATTCTTTTATTTTAAGACTAAGGGCAGGTTATTTAGTCTTCTTCATTTACACATACTGACTTTTTCTCATTAGTAGCTTGAGTGTATGTATGACTTTTACTGGAATTCAAAGGAAAGTCCGACATTGTGGGAAATAAACATACTTATTAGGTTCTTGCTCAAATGAGATGCAAAGATTGGCAGCATTTTTATGTCATGTAGAATAAATATAAACCAGATTATGGACAGAGGGACAGGTTAGGTGATGAGCCAAGTTCAAATCATGTGATTTTCAATATTATCCAAATGTGTTTGATACATTTTGTGATCCGCTTCAGTGGATTCACACTACAGGAGGGAGGAAGATACTTTCCAAGCTTCCCCTCCACCTCAATAAAATGATCTTTATCAAGTAGTTATTGTGCAGAAAAGTTTCTATATACAAGAAGCTCCTGAAGATTTTATTCAATTCAGTTTATTTATATAGCATCAAGTCACATCAGAAGTCGTCTCAGGGCACTGAACAGAAACATTCACACACATGATAAAAGCCAATTAAAAGTTATCTAAGGAAGATGGAAGATGGTGTCGTTTCATCGCAGTTTCCCATCCTGAGCAGCATTTTATCATCCTCACCTGGTTGTTGAGGGAGAACAGATTCCTTAATCACTCCCATGTTTCCAAATTACATCCTTCAAGCAGTTTACAACTTTAACTTTCTGTCAATATCACATTTAATATTTTGTAGTGTCACACTGGCCCTTCGTTTTCTTGTCAGCTTATGTAGTAACCTACAGAAGGACCTGACTCAGTGTTTTCCCTGTATCTAGGGATTTTCTAAGCTGTTTTTTTTTTTAAGTATATATGGTTTTATATTCATACATGGATGTTAGAAAGTGTTTATAATCTCCACATCTCTCTAAAAGTGATCGTTTATGAACAATATGTGTCATGGCTTTTGCTGTTTTTGTTTTGCTCCAGAAACGTCCACTGACTTTGGACCCATCCAACATTCAAACCCCAAAAAAACAAAAGCTGTCAGGAGACCGTCTGCCCCTGCAGTCACCTTCCCGTCCAGACTGTGGCACCAACGGGTCTCGTAGCTCCTTCAGTCATGAAAACTCTTGTGCAGACATCAGATCCGAGTTTGACAAAACCAGCAGCCATCCTCAGGGGAGCCCCGACGGTCTGTGCTCGCCTCACAAACTCAGCGCGCCGTCTGCATTTTCCAAACTAGCGAGGACAGAACCAGCTCCCACCTCTCCCAGTCCCAAGTCCCCACGCAGTGACACCCCAAGGTGTGCTGAGCAGCAGCTCACCAATGGCCAGCATAAAAAGAAAAAGTCTAAAAAACACAAAGACAAGGAACGGGACCGCTTGAAACCAGATTGGATAGAGACTAGTCCGGATCTGAAGCAGAACCAAGAAAACCTCAAAGGTAAATATCAAGGAAGCCGTCGTGTTTCAGACTTTATCAGACTTCATTCAATCTGTTGGTCATAAATAAATATAATCTTACCTGTGCATGGCTTAGAAGTCCCTACAGATTTAGTAGAGTATTTTATATCATTAGTTTGAGAAGTGAAAGCTGCAGAGCAGCTGGGTGACCTGTGGTTGAGTGACTGAGAGTCACAGCTCACCTTGGACCGGATCTCTTCTCACCAGAGACTGTTAAAGCGGCTCAGTTAGCCTTGATGCGGCGGGCACATTATCTATAGTAACTTGTCCTCCTATATCTGTGTGTGTTTCTGCCAGCCACCGACCACGATGGAGAGAAAACGCCTGTTAATCGAACCTCAGCAGAGGAACTGCCCGATTATTTAATGTAAGTTTAAACAGCTACATTTCCACATTCAGGGATAACGTTTTATAAACAGTCACTACATCCAGATCAGTTGTTGTGGATGTGATCCACTACTGAGGAGTTTTAATTTCTATTATCTAAACTCGCTGTTGAGAGGAAACAAGAACCCTCGTGGTTACTTGGGGGTAAGGGTGGGCTCTAAATATTCATGAAGCCCGAGGGCAGTTTAAGACTCCCTGAATGAGGTGCTGCAAAGAACAACACTGAAAACTAAAAGACTCACATCTGGTCAACACATCATGGTAGGAGTGAAACACTTTCAATCTGCCGACATGCTGCCATCTAGTGGAAGAACTGGGAAACAACCTCTACAAATAAAAACATTAGGAGGGTAATGTTCATCTTTCGCAGAAAATACAGCGCCGTAACATCGCTGGAGCAGCGCCAACAGTACAACGATGACTTCTGTGCCGAGTACGACGAATACAGAGCTCTTCACGACCGGATCGGAGCGATCACAGAGATGTTTGTTCAGTTGGGCTCAAAGATCAACACGCTCTCTCCGGGAACACAAGAGTACAAGGTACTGTCTGTGCTGCTGTAGCGGCTCCGCTTAGCAAAGGTTCAAGGAAAGTTTTGATAAATTACTTCACGCAGTAACACTTTGTCTTTTGTATTTCTTTAGCTCATGGAGGAACAGATACAGCAGAAGTACAGAAAGTATAAAAAAGTAAGAATAACTGGATTTTGTTTCTAATTTATTACTCGAACTCAAACTTTTAAAGATTACTGCATATTTGAATGTTCTCCGTACATGAAGTAATAAATGAAGCGTGGGTGTTGGAAAATATATTCAAAGTAAAATCCAGCTTGTCAGTACAGTGTATCACAGTATCACTGTGGGCTGCTCTCCAGGATTAAAACTTGTGACGAGCAAGTATTTGCACGAGTGGTACTTGATTTTATTTAATCGTATCTCCTAACAGTGTCAGCTATGGGTTGCTTTACTTTAGCTAAACTGAAAACTAACAAATCACAAGTTTTTGCACTCAAAGTTTAGTAAATTTAATTTGCAACAAAAATGACAGTAATGTTCTGATTTTGATTATTGTTATACGCCTGTCAAAAGATGGATGTATTATAGTTTTGTGCGTAAACTTTCTCTTGCTGTATAATAGAGGGTCGACGGGCGCATAATGTGCCGTATGCTGCTTGTTGGATATGGTTCCATATAAAGACTGTGAGCAATTAATATTTTATTGCATCTCTTTTTGAAGGGCTTCAGTTTAGAGAAACCATTTGCTTTTAACCAGATTATTAAGCTCCTGGCTAATGTGAGCAGAATCTAGACCAAAGTGTGTTGCTGCTTGTTTAAAACTTCGCCCAAAAAACTCCTATTGGTTCATGCAAACACCGTTTTATAAACATTGACCTCACTGTCACATTACACAGTTATTCCAGCAGGAAAATTGTGGTCTTTCTGCCAGAAGTGCCCCAAGCTGCAACGGAGGTGTTCATGAACCTGTTCAGTAAACGCACGTTGTGCTGCATTTAGAGCAGCGTAAAAGTTTGTTCAACTATAAAACCTTTGGGATTGTTCAACAAGGCGGGAATCAACTCTGGTCTTGGCCATTCTCTGACTAGCTGTGAGCTCATCAATCTGGTCCAAACCAAACTATTTTTCCAAATTGAGATGGTTCAAAGAGTTGTTCACAACGGGCACGGTTTTTACTTCATACAGAACCCCACTTTAAAAGATCTAAACCAGGGGTGTGCAACCTGCGGCTCTTTGGTGCCTCCACAGCGACTCTTTCAAGCTTTGACCAAAACTAACATAAAACTGAATTTTATTGTTTGTTATACAAACGACAAAGAAAATTCTAGTTGTAGCCGTTTTCCTGTCATTTCTTTTGCAAATACTCACTTTAACATTTTGCTTTATTTGTATACTTAATTTTTTCCACAAGTAGAAAAACTCACATAGATCTGCATAGTTCATAGTTTTATTTTTATTTTTTTAAACACTTTCCCCGCTCTTTACAAGAATCTGGTCTTTCATTTGTCTTAAATTGTAAAAATATTGATAAATGTTAAAAATCATTAGATACAGTACTTTTAGTTTTGTCACCCCTACCGACAACAAAAGTCTCCTCCAACAAACGTATAAAGTGGCCCATGGGCCACCAGTTGATGATCACTGTTGCAGCAGGTTGTTTCAGCTCTGGACACTTTTAATTTAGTGAATGAAGGTGTAAAAATGGCTCTTTTGATCATAAAGGTTGCAGAGCCCTGATCTAAACTGTCACATTAAAATGAGACTTCCATGAAAGTATAATCAGAAAATATCCTGATGCGTGCTCAGTAATCCAGGTAGAAAACTCTGGATGGATTCATCAACACCACTACAGCTTCTTCTTTTGTTTTTGTTTTCTCCCCCTCCTCTTCTAGAAGTTTCCTGGGTACCGAGAAGAGAAGAAACGCTGCGAGTATCTCCATAACAAACTGTCACACATCAAAGGCCTGATCGCAGACTACGACCGAGCACAGGGACGCTCCTAGTACCTGCCCTCCATCAGGGCGGGACTGAACTGGACCAAAAGACTCTAAGTGGACCCAAGGACTGCCCCGCTGGGCCCAGAAGTTGCTGAGACACTATTCACTTTACTCCTCAGAGTGTTAATGAATCAAGGAGCAAGTTTGTTTCCTTTTTATTTTATTTTTTAGTGGGCTCAGACCACCTACTCGTGATCAAATGTTACCCTTTAAATTTATGTTTTTCAGAACTGCTAAGAACTCGTAGCTGGATTCTGCTCTGCTGTAAAATAATTCTTTCTGCCAAACTGCAGCATTTTTAACTATATCCTTGAATGCCTTTGAACTTCAAAAGTGTTGATTTTTAAGTGTTGAAGTGACCGTACAATCAACTTTAGGGATATGCTAAGTCTACTAAAGATTTTATATTTAAATACAAAAAAAGGAGTATTTGCTAAAAACAATATATTTAGTTGCATCCAATAATTTCTTACAATAAGATCACTTATTGACGGTAATGAAACTGTCATTTGACAGTGCTACAGGAGGTTCGTTGAACAAATTTAAACAATTTTATCTTGGTAAGACAAAATTTGTCGTGCATACCAAACCCTGCAGACCTGATCTGTTATAAATTAAAAACAATCTGTAGTTTAGAACGAGGGCTGCACAATATCAGGGAAATGTGTGATTACAATATTGATTCATAATTTACAGAAACTTTCCATAGGAAGTCAAACTGAGGAACTTTAGGAAACTTTCCTTTAGATTTATGGTTATTTATGGGGATTAAGGGTAATTTGGGGGCATTTAAAACTTCTATTCAAACAAACAAACATTTTATTTTGTCGTAGGCAGATAAAGCTGTAATGAGTCTGACCCAAAGGTTCTGCATTTATGACCCTAATCTGAGTATGATGGCATCGCTGTCACAACCACTGAAATTGTTAGAAAGCAACAGAATTTTTTTAAAAGATGTTTCTCGAATTATTTTCTAAACTTTGCACGCAACGGAGTAAAACCATTCAAATGTTATTTGATAAGTATTTGGTATTTTAGTTACATAAAAACAAATTGAGGTAGATTGCATTTCCAACCAAACAAGTTACAACTCCGAGCTAAACTTTTAGTGTTATGGTTTCATTAGTAATGAAACCTGGTCTTATGTTCAAGCGTGTATTTCCCCAACTATATTTAAAAAGGTTAAATCTTCAGTATTTTAAATTCTGGGTTAATTCCCATAAATAACTATTAATTCCCATAAAAGTTGCCAACTTTGAGAATTCCTAAAATTTTGCAACCCTAGTTGAGATCAATGCACGTTCTCCACAAAGTGTGGTCATCGCCCCACTTTGATGCTTTAATCAAAAGAAACATTGGAACGCCACAAAAAGACACGTCACCGTACTTTAACTCTGGTTTCAGGACGGAGCTGTGCACATTTCGAGCCGCTTCACCCACATGCAGCCTACAGAACCATGAACTGCCTTTAACGAGACTCAGCACGGTGTTCATCTCGAAGCTGTGTTGAGTCTGTGGATCAAAGTTTTCTGACGTGTTTTAAAAGCTTGCAGGGCGTTTCTTTTCAAGTCGTTGCAGATTTTATTACTGATGTTCCTCACTTCACACTTTTTATTTCACCCTCATTAGCCGTGGCCCCGACGTGGAAGTTGTATTTCAGTTTTCTCCAAACGTTTGTGTCACTGCAGCAGTGCTCACAACCGTCGTCTTAACGCTGGCTTCAAATGGAAGAATGAAGCTGAAGCCTTGACGTGCACGTCTCGTCTGTCCCATTTCCTTTGTCCCCAAACAGTGATTTCTCCTGTATTGTTTGTGTCCTGTCGTCTCATGAAGATCTCAGTTACTGTTAGTGGTTGTGCAGAACTTGTCTTATCAGTGTTTGTCATGAATTTGGTTTCAGTTGTAGCTTAATTTGTTGTTTCGTCTGATAATCATGAATTGTACAGAAATTTAATAGTCTGGTTTTATCTGGCCCCTCTGTCAAAAAGCAGACTCTTTGCACAACTCCATACACAAAAAGCGCTTTTAGTTGATCTCAAAGTGCAACACGGTTGGTTTACCAGCATAGTTGATGACCGACCCAGTTGTTCTCCTCGGAGCTCTGGTATTTTTAGGGTTTGTGTTGGTTGCACAAATGATCGTGTTCAATAAATATTTATTAGCACTGACCACTGGAGGATTGAAAACTAGGAGTTTACCAGGTCTGAGCCTTAAATTTGATTAAAAGCTCATTTCTTAAAGCTCTGCTGTGCCAACAGAAAACACCTTATTTGATCATTTCTCAGATTAAATTGTAATTTTTTAAAGTGTCCTTTATGCATTGTGAAAATGTGCTGCAAGAATGAATTCAAACTCGTTTGTTTTGGTACTACATAAGAAAACAGTTTAGGGGTCATTGTATTAAGAGACAAGAGTACACAGTTCACTCGAATATTCTAAATTTATTAGTATTTTGCATAGTTTATCATATAAAACAAGGTCCTGAAACATTTGAACAAATCTACCAAGACACCGTTTCCATCACGAGCCCTTAGAGGGGAAAACTGGAAAAATGGCACTAAAACTTTTGCATCTAAACAAATATCATTGATGACGCATCCTGAGGGGAGAAAAGCTCATTTATCACAGCGTGGGGGAGATAAATCTACCATTTATGTAAAAAAAAAAAAAAAGCTACTTTAGAAACCACAACCTTGAGCAAATTGCAGTATTTTTTCCTCCATTTCTTTGAACTGTTGCAGGAGCGAACTACTGAAGGTGCCTTTTCCATTCAGACAGCAGCGATTCATCCCATATGTTGTTAGTTTACTAGAAATAAAAGTAAAAGGACAACTTTGGGCCAGCAGCATTTACAAATCAGTAGATTATCACAGTCAACTCGTCCTTAAAGTACCTTTTCTGGCACCATCGTCTTTAATTAGATCATTTCAAAAGATTTGGCTCTTGTAGAATTTAAAGCTTCCTTAGACAAGTTAATTCCTAGTAATGTTTTTTTTGAATAGTCTAAATTTCCAGATTAAAACTGCTTCCACATTTTTCATACAAAGGTTTAAATGGTTTGTCAGAACTGGAGCAAGCACCAGTATAAATGTGAATTAAGCCCTTTGTCTCCATGTTATCACTGCTTTTCTTTATTTATTGCATTTTGTTTGTGCTTTACTGGGAGCAAGTTTTTACATAGTTTTTTTTTTCTTTTCACAGCAAAACTAAAGTATTGTGAAAGGGAAACATAATATATTGTATTTTTGCATATTTCTGATGATTCAGTGTCATCCTCGCAAGAAAAGCTTTCCAAACAAACAAACTGTATTATTGCCTCTGAAACTGAAAATAAAGCTTCAACTGATCAGTGTCGTGCGTCCTCTAGAGGGCAGGGCTGCTGAGTTTCTGAAATGTCTCCTAGTCAGGGCACTAAAACTTTTAAAAAGAAAATTATCTTTTTAACTGAATTACACGAGACGGTGAACAAGATTTACCGTTTTTGTGAGAGGAACTGACTTTTTGATTTCATCCACACCACACAATTTAACTTGTAAACAATACACAAATATAAAACTACTCCAAAGGTTGAGTAAAGCATGTGCAGAGTTCCTTTGTTTCTCATTTAACTTCCCTTTCTTCTAAGTTAAAGTAAAATATTCACAGTCAAAGTCCAACACGTGCATGTGACGTCGGTAAACAACTTGTACCATTTCTTTTCCACGTCCCGACAGCACCTTTAGGCTAAGAATCAGTTTCAATTATCATTTAAATCAAAACTTTTAGCAGCGTCTCATCACACAACAGCAGAGACAGTGAACTTTAAAACCACCACCCTCCAGAACAACTCTTGGTGTTTTAAAGTACTTTAACAATTGTTTTTATATCAGTAGCAAAGTGCTGGTGGTTTGAGACAGGAATGCATAAAGGTCTATTCTTGGACCTTGTTTAATAAACTATATATTAGATCTATATTCTACTCTTTAAGTTGGTCCGTGATTGCTGGATTGAGTTTGGTGCAACATGTGAAGAGCGTTCAAGTTTAAATTTGTCATTCTCCTGATTTAAAGTGAGAATGTGGTCGTGATTAACCTGAGGTGTAACTCCGCCCTTGTTATCACGGTTTGATCTTTAGAGTAGGGCAGGTGAGGGTTGCAATGCCGAGCAGGGAGGACACGAGCCCACAAAATCCAACCACTCCTGCGTTCGTCTTGTAAATCCCCAGCTTGTCTAAGGGAATGAACAGATCGCAGACGTTCTTCAGCGTGTCCAAAGCAACAGCCGGATGTGACTTCAGAGTTTCTAAAAGCAGAAAAACGAAGGCATCCAGCTCAGGAATGACCGATTCAGCTACTTCCGGACTCTCGCAGAGATGTCGACTCATTTTCTGCTTGAACTTCTCGTCCCTCTTTTTCTTCACCGTCAGCTGGAGGACTAGGTAAACATCTCGGACCAAACTCATCACCAACGAGGAGAAGTAGCAGCGAGAGGAGTTCAGGCTCCAGCGTTCCTTGTCCACGTTGCGAATAAGGCCGACACTTCTGGCCCAAAGCAAGTTGTCACAGAGGAAGTAGAGGGCCCGGCTGACATTGGCCACAGTGAGGCACAGACACAGCACTCTGTCAGAGAGCTGCAGGGTTTGTTTGGCAGCCACAATGGAATGTGCTGCATTTCCCAGCCTGAGCACTAGCAGAGCAGGAAGAAACAGAAGGAATCAGTTTGCAGTGAAACGTGAGGTAAAACACAAGCAGCAGTTTATATTCACCTGCAGAAAATGTTTGCTAAACAAGAACACGATGCACGGTTCTGATGCTTAGCATTCTGGAAGGATTAAAGTCGAGGTGGGCTGGCATTTTCATGCATCCAGAACTATTCAGAAAGCATGTTGCAGCATAATTTTTTTTTCCTAAATGATCCGTCTAAACTTGAGGTCTGACAATTATCAAGCCAGGCAGACAAAGCAGTGAGGCCTCACGTCTGCAGCTCTGATGCAGAGGACAGATAATAAAACGCTGCATCAGTAACAGCATCCTAAGCAGCCTGGTCTGTAAACGGCTCTACTGCAAGAGAATAAATCTGCTTTAAGGCTCCATCTGTCCCTGGAAATCTGTGTCAAAGTTCAAAATGTTTAAAAATTTACACAGGTGGTGAGTCATCTGTGATTTGTGAAGTCTTATAAGTGCTACAACCAAAGTCTGCAAATACCGCAACACAAATCCACAAGTGAAACAGCGGATATGAGGAAAAAGCTGCAAACCTAACATGAAGCCACAAGCTGCCTTATTCAAGTTCACTGATTTAATGAGGTTGCAGAAAGGTTCACTTCGTACAGTGCACTGATTTGACACCCACAACCTAATAAAAACAGAGCGAGATGGACATATTTATAACTGCTTTACATCATTCATGCTTTTAAATCATACTTTTTAATCATAACCCAACTGAGAACACACTGTGGAGGCTATGCAACAGAAATCTGTGTCCATTCATGCAGAATACAGAATTTCAGATACTTTTTTTATTATCTGCCTTTCTCCTCCAAATTGGTTCATACATTTTTATAAGACCAATCTACTTATGTTTGCTAAAATGCAACAGTGATTATGGTTTCTTTAACTTTTAAATGTGTCTTGCAGAATAAAATGTGTGTGGCTTTAAGGCATATTTTGTGCCATAGTTTTATTTTTACCTAATGGTCCAATCTTAAAATCTTAGGCAACATAAAAGTTAAAAGTCAATCACTATTAATGCTTTGTAGCTATTCAAAGCTTGTTTTCAGCATTCAGAACATGACAGATTTTTGTTTAGGTTCAAAATATACAAACCAAAGAGCAATTTAGGTGTTTATTTGTTTTAGCTCTTCTGTCTGTGGATTATACAAAACCAACAAGGACAACTGGGTTTCTCAAACCTTTAGAAGTAAAACTGCACACCTTGATAACAATATGGGGACTTCATGTTAGACGCGGGGTAAAGTTCATGTAGAGCACTTTAAACGCCTCTTTGCCTGCTTTAGTTTAGCTGTACTCACATTTGCGTCCTGAACTCATGTTAGTTTCCAGCTGTTTGAGTTTGGCCACCAGCTCCTTCCTGTCAGAGCTGTTTCGCAGTAAATGTATGGACAGTGCGCAGGCATACTGGGTCGCTCTGAAATCCAAACCAGACCACAGAGATGAGTTAGTGCTCTTATTTTTAGATTAAAAAAAAAAAAACTAATTACAACTATGCTAGTAGAAACCCACCTGAATATGCGGTCTCTTCCTTGACTTTGGTTGGTGAATTTGACCACGGCGTCCATGATTATTATACTGAGTAAGAACAGGTTGTTCCGCTGAGTTAATTAGCTTTGAAGTTTGCTCAGGCGTTAGCGTGGAGCTGTTGACGTTGTCTGCCTGCTCACTACGGCTGGTCAAATGAGCCAAGTCCTTGTGTTCAGTCAGCATTTGTACTTTACATTTTGTCACCGATAAAAACAAACGAAGATATCTGAATTTGGAAACTTTTCCCACGTGCTGTGTGTGTGCACAGAGAAAGGTAAGCTTAGTTATAACACCTTTTCTTGTTTCCACTACGGCTAAATTTGGCGGCGGAACGTAAGGCGGACGGATTTGAGGGACGGACCAAGGTCTTTTCAGTATTTGCTATCGTTGCCATGACAACTGAAATGTTCGTTTTATTCTCGTAAAGTTGTTTGCAACAACAACAAAAAATGCTGAAGAAAATTAGTTGCATTACTGAGTCTGAAAACATGATAAATGTACATGTTTTTAAAGTCAAACTGAATTTAATAAACGTGAGTAATTCAATTAATGCTCGAAATATTGATAAACATTTTTAATTTTAAATAAAATGATGATAGTTCATTATATGATTAAATAGCGAATTTATATAAAAGTTGTAAAAATCTGTTTTAACTATTCTCCATTTATCAACTGCTCTGTAAATCATATAATAATAGTAATAATAATAATAATATTAACAACAACAATGACTTGTTACACAAAATGTTAGTCAAAAGTTTTGACTGGTACATAAAAATGAATAAATAAATGTATTAAAATACTTAAAGATTAAAAAAAACAATTATATTGAAAAAAATAGCTCTTTATTGCTTACATTTCCACAACTATCTATCTATCTATCTATCTATCTATCTATCTATCTATCTATCTATCTATATATCTATATATATATATATATATATATATATATAT